AACATAACATAACATAACATAACATAACATAACATAACATAACATAATACAATACAATATGCTGACCTGAGATTGTATTTTTGATTCGCACAAAGATTTTGTCAAAGTCAGCAAAGTCACTCCAAGAGGACTGAAACATATGCATGAACTGGTTCACACAAAGGTTCTCTATTCTGGAAAAGAAAATAGATAAACATCATTATTATTTTTCTTACAACAATTCTACTTAAAGTTTTTTTTTGTTATTCATTTCTCACTCACAGTGTAGCTAAAAGGTTTAAATCAACTTTTTGTTTTGATTACTTGTTCATCACCACATTGCCTCAAAAAGTTCTATCAACAAAAAGCAGCATGTGTAACAAAACCTTTGAAGCTCAGTACCAAAACTTTTCATGACTTATAATTTAGATGCTCAGTGTGAAGGACAAGTTGTGTATTTGTTTCCTTTTTCGTGCTGTCATGTCTACGTGCATATACGCATGTCAAAGCATATAAGTGAAATGCAAATATTTCTGGTGATAAACATCACATCTCTGTTTTGTTTTGTTGGTTTTCCTCCCCTTGAGTCAAACCTGAGTTTAATAAAAAATAGTCTGAGTCATAAAGCATTTGTTCGTCATCTGATGTTTTTGTCCTCTTGGATAAAGGGTGGTAAACTTCTATTTTTTTTATCCAGGACTGCACATAAAGGGTAGTAGTATTGAATATTCAATATTGAGTTTGAACTCAACTGGACATCATGGATGCATTCTGAACTAAGAAGACAAGAGGGGTTAAAGATGACATTTCTGTTGAATAAATAAAACAAGTAGCCTCTGGAAGTCAGGACATCAGCAGACATTACATAGACCTTGAATTCCACATGGCTGCACGTACGCCTTACTGTAGTTGAGTATGAAGTCCACTCCCTTCTCACTGTCAAACTGGATGTCTCGTGGCAGATCCTTGTGTCTGGCTGCATCTATACTCATGGGAAAACCTGGCTGCCACTCACTCCATCTGCGAAAAAAGAAGAAAAAACAAGCACAGCTCAGTCAACAGAATGGTCCTCCTCCACTGCCCTGTCAAAGTAAGCTTGCCTGATTGTTTTTCTTCTCATATCCAGCTCTTTTTGTCTGTGCTGCTTAACCACGCTGGTTTTGTCATCCTGAGGCAGAAAAGCTAAATAAAAAAAACACAAAACCACAGACCGGAGTGTTGGTTTTGAGATACACACTGATGGGAAAGAGTAGCATGTGTACAAGCAAATGAACTGATAACGACCTCGACCATCTCGCAGCAGCACTTCCTTTTCGTCCACCAGCCAACGGAAGCAGGGAAATTCCACGTAGTCCCCGGCCGGGGTCTTGACTGTGATGTACTTGCAGTACCAGTCATCGTGCATCCAGTATTTCTTCTTCTCAATCTTCACCAAAACAATGTCACCCAGGTTTTCTCCAGCACTCACATCATAGGTGTCCACCTGTAAGTTCATTAGTGGCATTTATTCAGAATGAGTTACAGTTTTTGAGTTATTTTTTTAAAGGAAATTCCCATTTGGAATGGAAACCTGAAGTGGTTGGTTGCTCTTCAACATCATTTTTTTTTTCAGTTATTTTTTGTCATGCAAAAAAAAAGGGGAGTAAAGAGACAAGTTGGACTTCCTCCATAGTGCAGAAAGAAAGTTTCCACACTATGATGCTGCAACACACAGAAGCTCTGCCTTTATTTTTGTTGTAATAAAAACAAAACCCAAAAATAATCATTAGTCCCTTACACTTAGAATTTAATCGGTAAAATTCCATTTAATTCTAATGACAGAACTATTTGGTGAAACGTTGTAATAAAGAAATTAAGTGGATCTTAAACTTTATGTAATTTTAAATACCTAAGAATCTATACATGTTCCCCTTCAATAATTCCTTCAATCAACTTAAATGAATTGTTTCAAGTCCTTTGTGAGCGATTACATTGATTAGAAATAACAACAATTATTTTGAAGTTAGAGCTGGTAAAATGCCACAATAAGTTTGCTCTCCGCAGCCAGTTTATTAGTACATTTTTTAACAAAAACCCAAAAGGTTTTTTTTTACATGAGGATTCTTAATCTCCTGAGGACCAAGCTTTCATTTGGTGTGTGCTTTTTCAATCTTCAAGATTTATGGGATTAGTAGACCTAATAAGTTCAATAACTTGACTTTGTCATGGTACAAGTAGCTTTTCATTCTATGTTTCTTTCAAAGCAAACACCAACAAATGAAAGTATGTCAAGCAGCAACCTTCACAGAAGAGCTACATCACTTACCGCCCCCCTCTCAAAGTCATTGTAAAGGGCTTTATCCAGCAGTGTTCTCTCACTGCAACGCTCCGAGCCCACCAGTGTAATGTAGACGTAGTCATCTGTTCCCGCAAACCACTGGCTCCCTGTGGCAACGGTCACTGTGTAGGAAGGCATGTCGGCCCCAGAGATGAGAAGGCCTCCAAAAATGTCTAAACGTCCTCCGAAGTTGTAGAAATCAGCAGGAGAAACTGTTCTACACCCACTTCTCTCAAAACCTAGCACAGAACAGTATCTATTTTACAGGTGTGCAAGTCCCTCTTCTGCCTTCAGCTCTTGCACAAACATCAAAGCAATGTGACATCAGGCTGAAGAGGGAGGAGCGCTTTTAGGACAAATTGGCCTCCCTGTGTAGAGACAGATCTCTACCCCCAACTCACATCTCTGTCAGCAGACAGGACATGGAAACATATATATATATGAGGATTTCCAACCTGCCAAAAGCAGAAGAGTATCACAGTACACACACAAAGGCATTTGACTAACGGAAAAAGTTCTGGGTGGTACACCGAGGAGCGGAAGTCTCCACATATTGGTCATTCATTGCATTTACTTTATTCAAATGTGTGCCAGAACCAGACAAAACTGAATCATTTAGAGAGACCACGAAGAAGCAAGAAGACAAAGAGTTAAAGAGAGAAGTGATGATTTTATCCTCAAACCATTTCACTGTGGTTCCACCACTTCTCCGATATCCTCTGGCAGGGGAGTGTGGTCATAGTGGGCACAAAGGACCCTTCTAAAAATTTTAATCAAAGCATTTAGTTTAAAGAAGAAAATAAACTAACAATAAAATATCTAAATAAATATATAGATTTTTTTACTTGAATCCAAAAATATCATTTGGAAAATGTGCATCATGTGTGCAAACATGTCTTCTACAAATCTAATTTACCAGTCAAATTGGCATGTGCCATCAGACAACAACCCGCAGTGTTCTGCAGGTTCAGTAGAATAAATGCAAATATACCACACAGTCCCTCTGGGGTTGGGATATGGAACAATAACATCCAGATGAACATCTTCTGTTTGCCTGCAACTCAAATGAGAAGCACAGGGCACCTCCTGCTGCTGTTCACGTGGTGGAAAATAATAAAGCCAGTGTGATAAAATGGGACTTCAACATCCAAAAAAGTTGCTGTTGATAACTGCCCAGCACAAAGACAAAAAAGAAGATTCAATTGTTCAGTTTGAAATCAATTTATCTTTGGAAAAACCAATCAGATAGTACATCGTATGGCTGTGACACATTACATATACACATCTGCATAAACCTGCATCTGATGCTTTGAGCAGCAGGAACAGAGCTGATCTTGAAGGGTTCAGTTGGTAGCATTGAAAAATAAGTAAAAGATCGCATCCTGCAGATAGGGATCAGCAGAGCTCAGCACAAAGCAGTTTAACAGATACACAAGCTTCAGCCTGCAAAGCAGATCCTTAAAACTGCTTCTCAGATGGTACCTCTCCCTGTCGGTACGGTGGGAGTACACGTTCTCTGCAAGATAACAGGGATACAACTAAATCTTCTGCTCAATAATCACTATTTAATCAACAGGCTTATTGCACTTACATTGGGCCAGTAGGGTGCTTTTGTTCAGCCTATTTCAACATAGGCATTTAAGCTCACTACAACAGGCAACTTCAACAAAAAGCTCTAAAACTGTTCAGCCAGCAGTTATGACCTGTATAGTTTCTATACTGCATGAGACTTATTCCCATCCAGGGAATCATTAGTGTGAGAGGTCAAAACAACGCCACATCCCTATTTTCTACTTATTTCTGTTTTCATGTTACCTTTAACATAAACACAACTTTTTCCCCCCAAAAGCAATATTTAAAGAAGATAGAAAGTATTCCTGTTTGATCAGTGCTCATAGGAAGCCGATTCTGGAGGCTCACAAGGCCAAACAAGTGTGTCGGCCACGTTTTTTAAAATTAGATCTTTTTAAGATTTAAAGATTCTAATCGATTTAGCGAATATTCCATGTGGTAAAGTCAAAAAGAACAAGCAGAAACACACAACAGGTTAAGAGTAACCTTGGATAAAGAGAATATAAGACTTGAAGGCCTAGGATGGGAGGAACTGAAGAGCATTGTACTGTTGACCAGTGCTCAGTTTTCCTGGGACACTGCCGACAAAGAGCTCCAGCAAGTCCTTCAAATGGTTTTGCTGAACTATGAGCTTGCAAACTGCCTTGCCTAAACAAAGTAAAAATAGATTAAAAAAAAAACAAAAAAACTGATGAATACAGGATGAAAAAAGGAGGAAATTTGTATTATTTTGTCTGATGGCAAAAATTTTGCATCAATGCTGCCATCCAGTGGCAATATCTCACTAAAATCAATAAATAAGAAGCTACAGTGCAAATTCCACCTGAGTTCCATCCGACAAATGTGTCGCTCCAGATGTGTGGAACAAATATCAAAAAAATATCAGGGACATTCATAGTTCAACATCATCAAAGCCACGGCCGAAACACTCACAGTAAGTGCACATTAAGCAGCACAGAAAGCAAAGTTTTTCAGCCTTTGAGAAAGAAAATGCTGCCATTTAGGGTCTGACAGTAAACAGGGAGGCTCTTCTCAACTAAAGCGGTTGTGTACTTAAAAAAGGCAAACAAAAAGAGAGGCAGAGGAGAAAAAACGGCACCCAGTCCTAAAGCTTTTGCACAGTAAAAAGAAAAGAAAGATCAAGCAAACCAAATCATTACAGCTCCTGCACACACTAAACTAAGTCAGTAAAAAGAAAACATGGTCAACATTAAACAAAACATGCAGCTGTAGAAACTAATGAGACAGAGGAATATAAGTATTAATGTATAAACTCTTTTAAGCAACTTTTATTATTTCAAGCTTAAAAATGAATAAAATTAAATAAGGAGAAAAGGAGAAAGAAAAAGAAAAAAAAGAAAAAGAAAACTCATGCGAAGATATGTGTACTGAGTGCCGCAGGGGGCCTCCACACAAGCAGAGGGTTGTTAAGTTTGGCCTCTGTCGGTGGAAATCTACTAATTTGTTTGTTTTTTTATCTCTTAAGCAGTGGTGAGAGTGAATAAAAGAAGACAGAAACTGAGCGGCTCCCTATTTTAGACCCACTTTCCCTCCTAAGCATGAACCAGCTCCCCTGGTGCCTCCAATAAGACGAAGTTAAGACGAAGCGGGTGGACCTGAGGTCACTCTATGGAGGGAACACTGATGACGGTCAGCTCATGATCGGAGTGTCCGGAACCCAGCGGACTAGTTCAGGTGGAGGACCTGCTTCATGATCTCGTAGGTGGTGAAAGCCATGGCCTGGGAGGGTACGCAGCGGATGTAGTTGAGAGAGAGTCCTCTGTACAGCCCCTTTTTGATGCCATACTGCCTGTACACATACTTCAGGGTTTGGATCGGTGATCTATTTTTCACACGCAAGGAAAAAAAGAACAGGGAAAAAAATAAATAAATAAATTCTGCAGATTTTTAATAAACTTGCATTCTTTCTTGGCCACCGTCCTCAATGTGATTTTGTAGTTTTTGCCAAAAAGGATTCTTATTCACTATGATGGGCTCACAGTTCCTTTGAGGACTCTATTCTTGGCATTATTATCGCGTTAAATTCCTCTTTGCTGTTGGAATGTATGAGTCCTGCAGCTGACTACATTCAAGTCACGAACAGCAGCAATATTAATACAGATGTAGTAAAGCTTGGGACTTTAGAAAAAAAAACAATCTAAAGTATCAGGGAAAGGCCAATAAAGCAATGATAATAAGCAGTGTTTGGACTGGCATTATGTGAACTTCTTCCAGCACAAGCAGCATGCATCTGAAGCAGCATACGGGTCTTACTATGCAGTCTGAAGTCAGGGGCTTTCAATTTTTAACTAAGACAAACAGCTTCTGAAGCTCTGGAATTTAGGCTCTGATTAAATTCCTTTAACAAAAATCAAACGTGTGATCAATATTTTCAAAAGGTGCTCCTGAGTCAATGTGCACATACTTCTGACCAAGCACACAAAAGAAAATGAGAGACATTTATCACTCCCAGAAGATTCAAAGTTTGATGACTGGAGACGGTTGTGATACTTACCCGCATTTATCCGAGTCAGGCAGTACGGTGCCTAACTGCATTCTTCTTCTCGCCACATCCAAGGGGTACCTGGTGAGGAGGGCAGCGCCATGCCGCGCGTTAACCAGTAGCAGGTCTGGAGTTTGAAGGCTGAAACCGGCTCTGAATCGGCAGCACTTACGAGACGGTCTGAGCAAAGGCACCGGCAACCCCTCCGCACAGCAGGTTGACGTAGAATTTCAGAACGTGAACGTCGGGGTTGTCTGACGACGGCCGTCCCAGCTGCTCTGGGAAGTGTTTGAGGCCGAGACTCTTAAGGGTGCCAAAGGTGAAGAAAGAAAGACCTGGAAGGGTGCAGATGGGAGTCGTTAAGGCTCAGAACATTGGTGAAAGATTTGAAAGAAGTCTGCACAAGGCTCCAAAAGATTTTAGATCACAATGATATAGAAGCATCCACTGTAACCTGCATAAGGCGCCATTCCAATTAGTGTTGGAGTAAGCCCCCTGTAAAAGCCTGCGACCCCCTCCTTAGAAAAAAGAGAAGAAACGCATTCAAAATGATGCTAGACATTTCAACTAAAGGCTAAAATCTTTTCAAAGTTCATCTCTAGCTAATCACCGTGCGGTAGATAGACTGGAAAACATTGGCAATTCCAGAGTAGCGGTGGTCTCCCGTCACCTGGAAGGCCAGCCTGGCTCGGATCACATCAAGAGGGTAGGTGCATATCACCGCACTCATCCCTGGAAACAAACAACAAATCGTAAGAGAACATTAACTGACCCACTGGTGAGCGCTGTGACAGACCTCTCAAATTAGCATTGAGGAAGAAAATCTTTAGAGTCACAGTGCACAGCTGTCAGTAAAGCCTATGAGCAATCAAATGGGAATGTCTTATCAGTACCTGCCATTGATCCTGCCATGAGGCGGTGGATGTGTCCTGAAATCCCAATCTGTTTACTCAGCAGCTATAAAGGAGATATTATCAACATCTGCAGGATGAGGTCAAAGGTTTCAACACTAAAACAACACACACAGGCAGTTATAAGTTCAGAAAACGAACTAAAATTATGTTACAATAAAAAAAAAAAACAGGTACTATATTTCCCTACACAATAATACACCTCTGGGTTAACTCTGGGACTGTAATTGCTGGATAAACTGGGCACTGTACCTTTTTATATTTGTCAAAAGCCATGAACTGAATGGCCCCATAAGGAAATATCCTGACCATCATTGCCCCATTCCCCTTGTACAAGCCAAGGAATCCTTCTTTCTTTGGCACGGCTGTGAGAGTGGAGAACACTCCTAGAGACAAAGACCGAAGGATTTACTTTTGCAGTACAGATGTACACCGGTTGGCTTTTGTAGTTAAGAAGCCGGTAACTCACCCAGATGTTTGTAATGAGGGCTCTGGCCTTGAAGAAGTATCTTGACTCTATCCAGAGGGGCTATAGAAGTCTTGGCACAGCATCCTGCTACACCTGAACACAAACAGAAATGTCACCAATCTTTGTTTTTCACAAATCTCAGGAGGAAATTCATTTTTAAGAAACAGCTAAGTTTTTCTGTTGTATTTTCTACCCATTGTCAGGCAGAGGCAGTAACGGCAACGTAAGGGAATGTGTAGATGCAATCAGAGTGGTTTGTAAAAATAAAAAAAAAGCACACTCAAAAATCATTAGCAGAAACTAGTTTCAGATGGGGGAAAAAAGTATTCTTCCTGTGTCCCTGGTCTCTGAATTGATTATAGCTCAGTTGACATCTTCTGCAAACAAATACACGGTCCTGACTGGTATACAGGTTGTTTTACTAGCAAGCTAAATTAAGACTGTGGGGGAAAATTCAGTGTTTAGTTGCAGCAAAACACCACAACACAATCCTAAAATGACCTGCCTGTCCAGTGCCTTTTAAGTGGACTCGCTTTTCATGTGGTTTGAGGTATTTTGAGGGAGAAAAGGCGTGCCTTTCACTGCCACTATGTCTACAAAATGTAACATCTTGATTTTGAACTTGGTGGTGACGTGACATTCCAAACATTTCCTTGTACGCTGCCATTTTACTACACTGCCTTCATCATCTTCCTGGTACGGAGAAGAATTTAGGGGAAAGTTGAGCACTTAAGGACATGTATCCTATGCTGACACCTCTGCAAAAGAGGCTTCAACCCATCTGGTTGCCTCAAACCATATCAGGAAAAACTGTTCCTGAAAAAAACTCTTCTATCAGAAAAAAGTCATAAATTAGCCGGATGTGTCAGACCTTACCTCCAGCTACAAAGGAGCGAATAAAGTGGTAGTCCCTCTTGGCAGGTGTGCTGCTGGTCATGGTGGGGGGTGTGGAGACAGCAGCCTCCGATGTCATCTTCTCTGCTCAGGAATCTCCCTCATCCATGGCTGTAAAGTTTGGTGTAAATACGGTAATGAGCATGAGCGTGTCACTACTGGTTTATGACAAAGGAGGAAACTGAAGTATTTAGCCTCATTCAAGTTGTCGTCTTGGCAGAAGACAAGTTAAAACCAGTTATTCTCATTAAAAAAAAACTATTTGTTTTTTGCTTCGAAAATAACATGCAAGCCGTTTCAGAAACCTGCGATATAGGTTCTTGCCAATGGAAATTGCTCATCTTTTTGACCGTGTCACCATTAATCTAATAGAAGGTGATTAAGATAAAAACGGTCTGATAAAAATGGGATACTTACAATCTATTGAGAAAACGAACTGTTAAAGTCGCCAAAACAGCGAGGTTTGGGTAAGTTTTGTTGTGAAACCTGATCAAAAACGACTCCTGTTCCTCGCAGAGCTGCAGGTTTTCCTCCTTTCACTCATTCCCGAGTTAATCCTAGATGGTGACACGCAAAATAATGAGAAGGTGCCTCCTATCGGTGCATTGTTCGGGCTTTCAGGTGAAAATTTGTTCTAAATTTTAGTTACGACCCAATTTCACAAGTGTTACCACATCCGTGCCCTTCGCCCGCAGACGACTGACAGCTCCTGTCCAACAACAGACGCATGATTATGACGTAACATCAAGATTTCCGGAAGGTGGGGGCACGAGGAGGAGGGTGGGTGGGTGGAGCTAACAGTCTGAAACAGTATTACAGCTTTTGTTCCTTGTCCTTGTCAATAGTGGTAACATAAGTTGTCAAAGCTTTGTTGAATTAAGAGGTTGACGTTTCAATGAACGAGCTGATCACAATTGTATGGTTATTTTCTTTTTAAACGCACCCATTATGGCAGGATCAAGTTATTTCTGAGTGGTCAGGGGCCCCTGCTGTGTTTTGTAAAGCATGAGATGCGAAAAATTTCAAAGTTAAGAGGTTCAAAATAAGAAGGTGTAACATTTATGTAAAGAAGAGACTTTGTAAAAAAGATAGAGAGAGAGAGAAAAAGAAACGCTGTATAAGTGGGACTGAGTTACTACAAAAGTACAAATGGCTACATATATGTAAAAGGGCCAAACATACGTGCAAATGAAATAAAATCACGCATGAAATGACCCTCAAACATGATCACCAACAGAAGCCATCATGACCACCAAAGCAGCAAAAATGTCTGACATGAGAAACATGAAATTAAGAACAACCCAAAATATAAACACAAAGTCTGAATTGCAAAGGGACAAATAATGCAACATGTTATGACAAAAGAGACATGTAAACAACCCAAATTTAACCTCTGATGACAAAGATGCAAAGCAAAAACTTTAATAAAGCCTCTGCAGATTCTGAGGTTGATCGGCCAACAGTGACTCTGGGTGAAGCAGACACAAGAAATCAGACTGTGTCATCTATCATGAACCAACAACAAAAATCAAGCATTCTAGGAATGTTTGATCAAAGTTTCCAACAGGGTATTTTTGTGTGATTGTTTTCTGTATATAACCAATATGAATGTCCAGTGAACATTTGCTCAGGAAATAGAGATGCCCTGCATCAACAGAACGTTTTCAGACAAACAGATGCTTTACAAACTTGTGTGTGAATGGATTCATTTTGTTTGTTTCAAAAATAAAGAAAAGGCAACATAAATCCAGACAGTATTTCTTGAATACTTCTCAATTTCAGGAACCATCAATGAAATGTCACATGGGGGTTCCCTAATAATTATGAAAGGTACAGATTTTTTCCAACTTTAAGAGGAACTCTCCTTGATAGTCAGGCTGGAAAACTATTCGATTTCAAAGAACCCACACTGGAGGTTTTGAAATACTTTTTTTCCGGACGACCAGAGGGGAGAGTCCTCTGGAAAAGGGTCCACTTAACCCCGAAGGAACCCAGCAGAAGGTTTGCAATGCAAACATCTTCTCTTTGTTTCTTGGTCAGAAGGATTTCCACACCTTCCTCTCTGCAATGTGCAATATAAATGTCAGTCAATCACAACCCCAACTTGTCAAAGTCAGCAGACAATAAATCGCTAATGGTCCCCCGTGGACGCAGATGAGTTTGCGCGGCGTTGGTTTTCACACTGCCCTGCATGCGTCCTGGCGCACAGGCGGAGGGCAGAGCTGCTGACCGGACACAGCACCGGCGCTCCGGCTGGACTCCACTCCGGGTTTTGCTGCTTCCCCTCCAGTGCCGACGACGAGTTTTTGGCCAGCAGAGACCGTAGGTTGCGTCTGGTGGAGGGAGAGTGAGCGGGGCTGCCCTGAATGGATTGACATAAGAGGGATTTACATTTTAACGGGTGTCGTGCGCCGAAAAAGACTACGCGGTGCACGCTCGGAACCCGGCTATTCTGCTCGATGTCGATTGCTGGTGTCGGTGCTCGTACCATGTCCATGTGTCATCGTCGCCAGAGGATTGAATTTACCAGCAGTCTATATTTGCCGAGGAGGGAAACCAATACAAGGTCTCGCTGTCTCGCTGGAGCGGAGTATTATTAGCAGTTCAGACAGTGCAACTGTCTCTCTGTGGTATGTAAAGCATTTCAGCCGTAAACGTGTAAACCGAGCCGCACGGGCAACCGAGCAACCCGGACAAAAGTAAGGTTTCCGAGCGTGCCGAGGTCCGTGCCAACGCAGCGGTTTAAATGACAGCGGTCAAGTGCAAAATAATAATAAACAGCGACCGTGAGGGCGGTTTTTACACGGTAATAACCCCCTCTTCCGCCAGTCAGGAAGACGAAAACAGGATCCGACCTCCGGTCAGAGCTCTCCCAGCTCAGCGTGCCTGCCCTTTAAATTGTTAAAGCCACTATACGGAAGCGTCGTTGTTTCGTCTTTATTTAGCTAAAGATATTTCCTCATATTTTACTGCGTCGGGTTGCCCTGAATTTCCTTTGTTGACGTCAAACTATCTGCACTTGCTGGTCCGAGGGGATCTTTAAGGAGGGGCAAAAGTGTCGTTTGTTTGAGACAAAGTAAAAAAAAAAATGGACATGTGTACTTATGTGGATTTATAGTCATGTTGTTAACATTCAAATTGCGCCAGATATTTTTCTAATGTTAAAATATTATGAAAGTTATATACTGTGTATATATTAAATTGTTTTATTGTTTTTGTTATTGTTTCCTCCATCTTTATAGGTCATGCACGAGAATTGCATTATAACAACAGCACCAGCTTTTAATATTTGCGAGTGAAACATAAAAAGACTTTTAAGAAGAGCCACAGATAACCAGTCACCTCGCTCCCATGCTGGTGGCCAGGAGTCCTCCCCTCCACACCCTCAGTCATGCCGGCTACAACCAAACCCACCAGGAGACAGACACCCGCTCAGAGGAAAAATACCCACAAAGTGTCCAGCTCCAAGGGGCCAATTTGCCACTCGGATAAATCAAGAGGAAGAGTCGTAGAGAGAACACAGAACACACCTGCAGAACCTAAAAGGTCAACGACCAGGGCTCAGGCAAAGTCCGGCCGGAGTCCTCGCGGTAGAGGAGCGAACCCAGTGGCCGCCCAGGATCCGAGGAGGTCCCCTGGCATAGCCGGCCATGCCCAGAATGTAGCGGGATCTGCAAGGCTAAGGCGTTCAAGGAGTGTGTCGGAAAATGAGGGCAAGTTACAGGAGCCTGTAGAGCGTAGGAAGTCTCAGCGGGGCACCCAGGTGTCTGTTGCTCTCTGCCAGTCTCCTGACCCATGCAGAGAAGGCAAAAACAGCGGTGGGAGCGCTGGGAGAAGAGCGGCATCCCAGAACCGAAACGCCAAAAAACAGCCCTCGGCCGTCAGCGTTGGGGAAACAACTCCCGATGAGGGAGCTGAGGAAGTGGACGGTTGTAATAATGGAGAAATCTCCACAACTGATAGTAAAACTGAGTTCGAAGTTCCTACAAGCGTGAAATACCAGGATGCTGGAACTAACGATTGTGAATCAAAAGAGGGCAGCCCTCTTCAAGCTGATCCTGCAGCCCGCGCTGACTCCCGGGCAGACAGTGTGGAGCACAGCTGTGGCGGTCCTCTTACCCAAGACAAAGAGACTGTCAGCTACAACAGTGAGGGTGGCTTGAAGCGCGTCGCCGGGGCCCCAGTGTGTGATGAAGCTGATGGACAGCCACTAGTCTGCAGTGACAGGAGCAAAGAGCACTCCTCTGGCACCTCCGAGTTAACGAGCGGCGTCCCACCAGGGGTGCGGGGCGGCCGGGAGGCAAGCGACACCTCGTCTATCCTTGGAAATGAGCTCGATCGTCTTCCCACGGACGTGCGTGCGGTCCAACAAGAGGAGGGCAACAAGTTGGGGATCAAAGACAACAGGACGGATGAAAGAGTGTCAGCTGTCACAGACGGAGAAAAGGACATACATCAAGAGGGAAGGGAGAGTTTGAAAGCTGAGAGAACTCCGGAGAGGCTAATGGAGGAGAATGTTGAGACGCCTGGCAATGGGGAGAAGGAGGACAGAGAAAACAAAGAAGAGCCAAACGGTGGTTCCATCAGTCCTGCTGAGTCCCAAAACAGCCCTCCAGCCTGTCAAACCCTGGATCCACCTCGCTCTAACAGCGGCCCAGCACCACAGCCCCAGTCACCGGCGTGTGTGCTTGCGGTCTCAAACACAGCTACCTCACATCCCACCAAAGCCCTCTCTGCCTCAGATTCATGTAAACTAGAGGCTCTGAGCCCGGGAAAAACAGTCCAACCTACCAATCATGGTGCTAAACCCCAATTGCCAGGGTGCTCAGCTGTCTCTGACTCTGCCCCGAAGGTGCAGACTGTTATTGTGAAAAGAAACATGCCGGTTATAATCTGTAGGGACTCTCTCAAGCCAAAGAGCTTTGGGGAGTTCGACCTGGGAGAATCATACCAGGCACCTTCCGCTCAGAGAGAGAGACCGGCTTCCACACCAGCAGAGACCAAAGATATCAAGTCGAATCAAGAACCAAGGGGATGCAACAGCCAGAAAGAGACGTGTTTGCTCTCCGTGTCGCTCGTGACTCAGCCGAGCGCGGAGGCCCGTGCGGCTGAGCCAAACCTCAGCGAGGACGGCGTCCAGGTGGCGGTGCCAGAGCAGGACTTAGTGCCAAAGATCTCCACTCCCTCCCTGGACAGTTGCTCCACCTTCTCCTGCAGCTCAGAGAGCACTCGCTCCTCTCTCTCTTTCGACACCGAGTCCGAGGCCGGCTACGGGGAGCCCTGCCTCTTCGCCCTGCCCGGGTCCTGGGGCGCGGAGGGGGCCGTCGGCCCGGTCCTCTCAGCCACGCAGAAGGCGCAGAGGAAGGAGAGGAAGAAGCGGAGCAGGTGTGGGTCCTGTGAGCCGTGCCTCAGGAAGATCAACTGTGGCCAGTGCAGCTGCTGCCTGAACCGCAGGACCGGCCACCAGATCTGTAAACTGAGGAAGTGTGTGCAGCTGAAGAGGAGAAGGCCGTCGTCTCCACTCTGTCGTTCTGCTGCACAGGTGAGGCAAAGGCTGCTCTTTAATTCCATTTAACAGTGGCTCATTCTGACCATCTTAAGGCAGTTGGGGTGTTCGTTAATTCTACGGGAGATACAATCAAACAGCGATTGGACTTAGATATCACTGGAACTCCTTTTACAAACAGATGATCTAATGAATAGGAAAAAAAGTTTTT